TCATCCCAATCCCCACAGGCCAGGCCGAGGGATCCCACCTGCCAGAGGGACCCCATTCACTCCGCAGACGCCTTTTGAGCCACAGTGCCATTCCAGGTGTGGTTGGCCGGGGAGGGACCATGGGAGGTTGGCTCTAGAGCCTGTCCCGCCTGCTGGCCACCTTCTAATTAATTTCCTTCCAATGTGCATGAATCCATGCACTGGCTCACTAGTTTATTAATGAAGGAAGCAAAGGGAATCAGACATGGTTAAGCATGATTAGCTGGGGAGCATGGGCCTGCTTGTTTCACCAGGAAGTCATAGCTTCACACACTCCCCAGGAAACCACCAATCTCTTCTCCTCAAGACACTGGGGGAAGGGATAAAACAATAAAAGGAGAGACAAGCACACGAGCAGCAGAAGTCAAAATGGCACAGGGGGAGGTGCTTCTATGAGGCATGCAGGTAGGGGTCAAGAAGGTCACTGCCAGTCTAACCTGGGAAAGGAGTCAGTTGGTTAGGGGGTGGACTCATGAAAAGTCCACGAAAGCTTGGAAAGTTGATGGGTTATTTTGAAAAAGCACCTGGTCCTGCCTAGCCTGAGATCATATCATCCCAGGGAACAAAGAGCTCTCTCTCTGGCACCAGATAATGGGCGCTGGTCCTGTTTGCTCAGGAGTTCTCTCCGTAGCGATCACGTGGGTCCAGCAGCCATGGGGCCTGCAGCAGATTGTATGGCTCCAAAGGATTAAGCTTTAACATGGAACAGAATTTCTGGACCTTGGCCCTATTTCTGACTCAGGTTTTCCATGGCGGGATGGAAAAAGATGGAACATTGGTAACTTAGAAGGGGCAGTATTTATTTATTTATTTATTTATTTATTTGCCTCCCCTGAGGATATTTTTTCCATTGATTTTTAGAGAGTGGAAGAGAGAAGGAAAGATAGAGAGAAACATCAATGTGAGAGAAACACATCCATTGGTTACCTCCTGCAGGAGCCCCGACCAGGGCTGGAGAGGAGCCTGCAACTAAGTACATACTCTTGGCTGGAATCGAACCTGGGACCCTTCGGTTCACAGGCTGATGCTCTATCCACTGAGAAAAACCTGCTAGGGCCAGAAGGGGCTCTCTAGATTTTGCATCTGATACTACAAATGTCATCACCAGACCTCATCCTCCCTTGTGGGTCTCCTGGAAGGCTGTCCTTGTGACCTTGTAAGATGCCCACTTCACCGGTAACATGGGGAGATGGCCTTTTGAGCTGGCTGTAAATTGGTTGGCCGGTTTGTTTAGCCATCTTTCTCAGTTTCCCCATTCCGACTTGCCAAGGGAAATTTCTAGCTTCTTAACTATCCTACCTCATAAGAAATGTCCAAACTTGTAAGAAATTTTATTAGTTTATTTGAACCGAACTGACAATAGTTGGGAAGCAAAAACACAACAGATTGAGACAATGCTCCAGAGAATGGTAGTTTTGCACTTTATTTTATAAACCAGAAACAAAGGAGGAAGTGTAAGAGGGTTACATAAAATTCACTGGTGATAGCTGAGGGAGGCTGGAAAAAGCAAAGCTTTCTGGGAAGTCTCTGGGATGAGATAAAAAGCAAGGGGGGTGGGAAAGACATACTTCTTTTATATAGGTGGGCATAGAATAGTAAATAGTTAATTAACATGATAACATTGAGAGGGTTTGTGGTCTCTGGTCTGGTTCAGCTGTTGTGCTTGGAGGGGTTCAGAAAAAAAAGAAATGACTTTGATATTCCAAAAGTACTGTTATCAGGTCTGGTAGATGCAAAAAGACAACAGATAGGCCCAGTTAAGATAAAGATTGACATTTGTTAGGAAAAAAACACTGACCTACAACATAACTACCCATCATGTACTGCTTTTAGTTAGAAAGTTTTTAAAAAAATATATTTTTATTGATTTCAGAGAGGAAGGGAGAGAGAGAGAGGGGGATATGATGAAAGAGAATCATTGATTGGCTGCCTCCTGCACACCCCCCACTGGGGTATGAGCCCACAACCTGGGCATGTGCCCTGACTGGGAATTAAACTGTGACCTTCTGGTTCATAGGTCCAATGCTCAACCACTGAGCCATGCCGGTCGGGCAAGTTAGAAAGTTTTAATTTCAGACCATCCTATGTTGTTACTTTCAGTTTCTGAATTTGTAAGGCCATCATGCAGGCTTCCCCTAAGCTTGTCAGGTTTAATATGTGGCCCTTTATTGTCCACATATTGTATTATTTTTCTCTGACAAAGCTCTTTTTAAATTTATTTTAAAAAAATATATTTTATTGATTTTTTACAGAGAGGAAGGGAGAGAGATAGAGAGCTAGAAACGTCGATGAGAGAGAAACATTGACCAGCTGCCTCTTGCACACCCCCTTCCGGGGATGTGCCCGCAACCAACGTACATGCCCTTGACTGGAATCAAACCTGGGACCCTTCAGTCTGCAGACCGACGCTCTACCACTGAGCCAAACGGGTTTCGGCTGACAAAGCTCTTTTTGAGAGGTGATGGGGATCAGAGCTTTATCTTTCTTTCTGTTTTCCATATTAATAAATAGTTGTAACAAATTTGATATATATCAATTTTAGGCTAGAGTATAGTCATGTGATTTGTTAAAATTGATTTCACAGAGAGGAACAAGAGAGAGAGAAGGAGAGAGAGAGAGAGAGAGAGAGAGAGAGAGAGAGAGAGAGAGAGAGAGAGAGAGAAAGAGAGAGAGAGAGAGAGAGAGAGAGAGAGAGAGAGAGAGAGAGCGCCCAATGCTAGAGAAACATCTATCTGCCGCCTCCTGCATGCCCCTCTCCGGGGATTGAGCCCATAACTTGGGCATGTGCCTTCACTGGGAATTCAACTGGTAATCTACCTGCCTCCCCAAATCATTCAATAAGCCTTGACAGAAGTGAAATTAGTATCTGCACATCCATGTTTATTGCAGCATTATTCACAATAACTAGGAAACAACTTAGATGGCCTGTAGGTGAATGAATAAAGAAAATGTGGTATTTTTGTATATGTACATTAGAATCTTGACCATAAAATGAAATTCTGCCATTTATAACATGAATGAATCTAGAGAGTATTATTCCCAAGTGAAATAAGACAGACGGAGGACAAATATTGTATGGTATCACTTAAATGTGGAATCTTTAGGGGAAACAAAAGCTGATTTCATAGATATAAAAAAATAGAATGGTGATTGCTCTGGGAGGGAGAAATGGGGTAATGTAGGTCAAGGGGTACACATTTTTAATTAAACAAAAATAAATTCTGAGGATCTAATATACAGCATTTTGACTATAGTTAATAATGTTATTGTATATTTTAAATTTGCTGACAGTAGATCTTAAGCATTCACACTACAAAAAAAAAAAAAAAAAAAAAGAATGAACTATGTGAAGTAATAGATATGTTAATTTCTTGATCTTGGTAACCTCTCCACATATATATGTATAGATCAAATTGTCACATTATTCAATTTTAATATATATAATTATGTTTGTCAATTATTCCTCAATGAAAAAGAAATGATTAAAATAAAAAGGCCTTAATAAAATAGTCCTTGATAGAGAATAGATATCTAATATCTCTTCCAATTTTAACAAATGTTTTTAATATACCTTGGAGTTTGACCCCATTACCATTTACATTACCCAGAATATTTAAAAAATATATATGTATTTCAGAGAGGAAGGAAGAGAGAGAGAAAGAAACATTGATGTTGGGAGAGAATCATTGATTGGCCGCCTCCTACATGCCTCCTACTTGGGATTGACCCTGCAATCCAGGCATGTATCCTTGACTGGAATTGAACCTGGGACCCTTCAGTCCACAGGCCAATGCTCTATCCATTAAGCCAAACCAGTTAGGGTTGCATTATCCAGAATTTGATGGTCACTGATGTTTCTTGGCCCAAATACCCAACACATGCAAACATACAACCTATTGCAGTCATCATCTGCTTAACAGTGAATAAAGCACAGTTGTTTAAAGAACTGTCTTTACCAATAGAAAACCCTGGGTTCAACTACCAGTTCTGCCACTTCCCCATATGCAACCATTGGTGAGTTACTTTTTCTCTTTAAAGACTTATTTCCACCCCATACACATAAAAAAAAAAAATCACAGTTACTCCATCACAAAGCTGATGAGAGGATAAAATGACAAAACAACTGTCAAATCAAATAGTCAACAAATGTTAGTTTTACTAATATAATTATTTGTTACCAATACCCCCTTATTATAATTAACATTTATAATTATTATAGTTTATGTTATTTATAAAAATATCTTATTTTAATTATTATAACTAATAATTGTTGTTATTAATAATCATAATTATTAATTTGATGTTGGGGACTGAATGTTTGTGTCCCCCCAAATTCATATATTGAAACCCTAACCATGAAGGTGAATGTATTTGAGATAAGGCCTGTGAGGAGGTGATAAAGGTTAAATGAGATCATAATCGCTGGGTCCCAATCACATAGGCCTAATACACTTATAAGAAGAGAAAGAGACATCAGAGCACTCTCTCTGCCACTTGAATACACAGTAAAAGGCAGCTGTCTACAAGCCAGGAAGAGAGCCCTCACCAGGAATAGAATAAGTCAGTACCTTGATCTTAGGTATCCCAGCTTCCAGAACTGTGAGAAATGAAAGTCCTGTTGTTTAAGCCACACAGTTTGCTGTGTTTTATCAAGACAGTGTGGGAAGATGAAAACATTCATTAGCAGCAAGATCTTAACTTTACAAAGTAGGGCCTTTTATTCATATAAATAGTACTAAAAATTAGGGGAAGACTATACTAAAAGTGATTAGGACTGCTACTGTTGATTTCCACTAGCCCATGGGAGAAAACTTGAACCCAGCTAGTCATGGGATGAGAAGAAACTGGACACTTAGCCTTTAACATAAGGTCTTTACGGCTGCATCACAAGTGGGTGTTTTGAGGTGATGGATGCGATGGAAGACTGTTGCGATCACACCAGCAGCCCCCCTACGTGGTCATCACTTTGGCCTGAGCCTAGATCTGCTGATCAGTTTGACCAAAGACATTCGTACTTCCCGGTTCCTCAGACTATAGATGAGAGGGTTCAGCATGGGGGTGATAACACTGTAGAAAAGGGAGGTCACATTGTCCTGTTGTGGGCTATGGTAGGCCCCTGGTACCATGTACATGAACACCGCTGCACCATAAAACAGCCCCACAACTGTGATATGCGAGGAGCAGGTGGTGAAAGCCTTATGTCGGGCCTCCTCTGAGTGCATGCATAGAACCGCTCTCAACACGTGGCCATAGGAGATGGCGATGAGGGAAAGGGGAAGCACAAGGATCAGCACCCCTGAGATGGACAGCGCCAACTCATAGGCCGAGGTGTCTGCGCAGGAGAGCGGAAGCAGGGCTGGCACCTCACAGAAGAAGTGGTCCACAGTGTGGGAGGCACAGTAGGGAAAGTGCAGGGTGATGGAAGTCTGGATGGAGGCGTTGAGCACACCTGCCACCCAGGAGCAGCCCACCATGAGCAGGCACACCTGGCGCCTCATAAGCACAGGATACCGCAGCGGGTGGCACACAGCAACATAGCGGTCATAGGACATGAGAGCCAACAGGGTGCCCTCAGCCACACCCAGAAGCGTAAGGAAGAATATTTGAGCTGCACAGCCCCCAAAGGTGATGGAACTTTCTACCCGCAGGAAGTCAGATGCCATCTTGGGGATGGTGATCAGGGGGAAACCAACATCAAAGAGGGAAAGTTGACTGAGCAGAAAGTACATGGGTGTGTGGAGCCGGGGGTCCATGCAGATCAGGAAGAGCAGAATGGAGTTGCCCAGAAGGCCCACGATAAACATGGCAGCCACCAGGGAGAAGAGTAGTGGACATGACCCTGAGTGGCTGCAGAGGCCCACCAGAAGGAAGTCAGAGGTTACTGACTGATTCACACCCTCCATTTTTATGTAATAGACCCTTGCTGCAGGAAGAGCAGGAGACCAATGGCAAGAAGGCTGAGTGGGATGGCAAAAAAGTTTCATTCGACATGCCAGTGGCCATCTGTTGGTAGTGGATGCTTAACGTGCCTTCTTGGGAAGAGTTATGAGGTTGCAGCTAGAATCAGTAGGAAGGAAAGGCATACTCAATTAATATTTGTCATAGTCATGGGATGAGAAAGCAGTAACTCACATCTCTGAATAAGACACTTAGCCACACACCAATCAAGAGCTTCCCACTAACTCTTGTAGTCCAGATTTTGAGGTCCTAGTCAAGGACAGTAACATGGCCCCAGTAGAACATTTCTACATTACTCATCTCAGTGGTCCTGGAGCCAGAGTGGAGGTGAGATTCTGAAAAGGCCAGGAGATGAAAGAGGGGATGATGGAGCCAAAGCAACAACCCAAGCCAGAAAACACGGAGATGGGCCTGGGCCCAAATACCTGGATAAGAATCTAGAGCAAAGAGAAATGTATTGTGAGCCCAGCACTGGGGTCAAATTGAAAGTGTAAATCTAGGGAGTCTGAGCCACAGAGACACTTGGGTGACAGCATGTTGGGGTCAAATGGCCTGGGATTTGGTGGGTGGGACAATTGTCAATGAGCTCACATATTATTGGCAACTTTGTTGCATTGGATGTGAGAGTAGCAACATGTGGGCAGCCTAACTCAATTTCAAGGACTAGGGTAAAGGACCAGGCCTGAGAGATTATGTGTCTCTAATAAATATTGCCCAACTGGATAAGAAAGATGGCCATGGACAAGAAGGAGCCTCATACCTAAATTAGGGATACTTAATTCTCTAGGCAACCTCTAAGCATCCAGGTAAACCCAGATTGCCCTGGAGTACTATACACTACACACAATTCCAACAGTGAACAATGCAAGACCAGAGGAATGTTTATGCCAAACTGCAAGTAGGTAAAGAGGCAGCAAGACAGGTCATTTAAAGGCAAGTGGGTTCTATTGAAGCTCTTTGTCTTAAGGCTGCCATCCTCACTCAGATGGCCTTAAGGCAATGCTTAATTATTCACCAACCTGATTTTTCTGTTACATTCAAGCCACCAACCATTCACACATGCATTCAACAAAAATTTGCCACATGCTGAGCTGGGCATAAGACATTCAAAGGTGAACCACCCAGGCAAGGTCCCCACTTTCCTGGATCCTACAGTCTCTATTGGGTACCAATGGCAAACAAGGAGATAGATGGACAAGACTTAGAGGGAAGCACAGTAAGGGAAGTGGGTAGAATGTTCTGTAGGAAATGGCTGGGGACACCAAAGGCCATGGTCAGGGAAACTTCCTAAAAGAAATGACAGATGTCTTCAGTGTCAGAAGTGCTTCAACAAGAGGGATGGGGATGTGGTAGGACCAACTGCTTCCTGCTACTAGGATGTTAGTGAGGTGGATGTTAGTGAGACCAGCTGTGTGGTTCACCCTAACAGAGAACTTTCTAACAGTGAAATCCAACCAAAAATGGAATGAGCAGCCCTTTGGCATTTTCCAAAGTCAATGACATAGAGAGTAAGATAATTTAGTTCTGTGGTTATAAAATCTTGAGTTTGAGGGAAATTTAGCATTGTTTACATCACTTCAGAATAGTCTGATCAGCAATGTAGTAGTGACACATGCGCAATGCCATGGGTACCCAGGGGATGGGATCAAAATGGGTACCCAGGGGATGGGATCTGCCTGGGATCAAATCAGGAAAGGCTTCACAGAGGAGGCAACAGCGTAGCTACATTTTGAAGGTCTAGTAAGGATTTTCCAGGCAGCTAGCTAGAGGAGGGAGAGTTGTTCCAAGCATAAAGAATGTAGCACCTGGGCTATACAGATTTTTGGTTAGGAGGGTGTACCCAGGAGTAAGATTAAAATGAGCTTGGATCCCAGCTTAAATACTTTGTATATGACCTTTAGTAGTTTAAGAACATGACCTTGGGTAGCTACTCAACCTCAGTTTCTTCATCCATAAAATGGGTGACAGTAATTTGGGTCACAGGCATTGTTGTGAAGATTAAATTAAGGGATAAAAGTTAAGAGCTAAGTAGTGCCTGTCATGTGTTAAGTGCTTAATAAGTAGTAAATAATTATACATATGACTATTAAATATATTAAATAATATTTATAACTTGTCCTATTTAATAAAAGGGTAATATGCAAATTGACCCTAATGGCAGAATGACCAGAATGACCTCTGGAACAATTACTATGAGGCGCACTGACCACCTCTTGGGCTATTTCCCGGCCAGTAGACTGATTACCTGATGGCAAATGGGGAACCAGGCTTGAGTGGTGGTGGAGGGCAGGGCCAGCTGGGGAAGATGGCCTGATTGCAGGCCAGGCCTAGGGACCATACCCGTGCACAAATTTTATGCACCGGGCCTCTAGTATAATTATAAAATTATTGCTAATTCTCTTGAGGAGAAAGCGTTACATATTGCTGGCTGGATGATCAGTGCTTAGCACAGTGCCAGACACATAGGACATTCTCATCAATGTTGATTTCTATTGTTATTACAGCAGTCCCCCCTTACCTTCAGTTGCCTGCAGTCAATCATGGTCCAAAAATATTAAATGAAAAACTTCAGAAATAAATAATTCATGTTTTAAATTGTACATCATTCTGAGCAACATAATTAAATCTCATGCCATTCTGTTCCGTCCAGCTTGGGACAAATCATCCCTTTGTCCAATGTATCCACGCTGTAGTGCTACCCACCATTGATCACTTAGTAACGAACTTGGTTATCAGATCCACTGTCATGGTATCACAGTGCTTTTGTTCAAGTAACACTTATTTTACCTAAGAATAGACCCAAAGTGCAAGAGTAGTGATGCTGGCAATTTGGATATATGCCAAAGAGAAGTTGTGATGTGTTTATGATGACCGCCCAGCTGGCATGACTCAGTGGTTGAGCATTGACCAGGAGGTCCCTGGGACTCGATCCCCAGAGAGGGATGTGAAGAGGCAGCCAATCGGTGATTCTCTCATCACTGATGTTTCTATCTCTCTTCCTTCCTCTCTCTGAAATCAATAAAAACCTATTAATCTAAAAAGGAATAATGATTATCTCTAATAACATGTGTTAATTTCTGAAGGAATTTAAGATGCATATTATGATCTAGGAACACATTCCTCATGGATAATGGGGGACTACTATGCTCAATGAAGACATCCTGTCAGGAATCAATGTTCAACCTTATGGCCTCTTCTGTGGTCAAACCTGACCCAGTCTATCTAGATCATTCTCTTTCATATTGTTCCTGGGTAGAAACCCACATATCCCTTCTCTGGCCTTTGTGATCCCTTAACAGACTCTCTGAAAATTAATTCCCTCCCGACACCATTAGTTTACAACAGGGGGTTTCCCTCCTAGCATTATCTGAGGACAGGTAATTCTTTGTTGTGAGGAACTGTCTTGTAGGAAGTTCAGCAGCAGCCCTCACCTCAACCGACTTAATGCCAGTTGCATTCTCCTCTACCCCTACTCATGAAAACAAAAAATCATTCCACATCTGGTCATATGTCCCCCAGAGAGGTAGACTCACCCTCAGTTGAGAATCTGAAAAAGCAAAACAAAACAAAAAAACAAAAACCACATTGAAACCTGCAGGGACTTCACTCAGCAATTCCTCTTCCGATGTTTATTCTAAAACTGTAGTAAGCTCAGACCCAGCAAAATCCCCAGGGAATATCTCACTTATTCCTATGATCTTTATATAGGAACAAATCCCCAAACTAATCCTCACATTTTTCTTCCAACTTATAACCAATCAATTTCCAAATCACCAACTCTCCCAGGTGGTAAATTAGCTTTTACTGCAGACTCCTATCAAGGGCTATTTAAGTGTTCAAATGAATCTGATCTCTCTCTGTCCAGTTACATATCATCACCCTGAAAGCAGCTGATGCCAAGTGCCGACTCTGTGGGAGGCATGGAGTGTTTCACATGCTTAAAGTCAATCCTCAAGTCCTGGAGGTTAATGGTGGTTATGTTTGCATAATAATGTGAATACTCCTAATGGCATCAATAGTACATTGAAGAGTGATTAAAATGGTAAACTTGTATTTCATTTTTATTGTGTATATTTTATCACAATAAAAAAGAAACACTGCCTGTATATATTATTTATCTGTTTATTTTTTATTTATTTATTTTTTTATGAGAAGACAGAGCTTCAGAGAAGTGCAGTGACTTTTCCAGCATCACCTAGCAAGGAAGTAACAGAGCCAAGATTTGAACAAGAAAGGGACCTAATTCTAAAGTCCCTGTTTTCTCTTTGCATTCAACACACTCCCCTTAAATGCTATAAGAGATATGTCAGGATTTGTTACACACATGCGTGCGCACACACACACACACACACACACACACACACACACACACACTGTGTACATTCAGTCCTGCATGCCCCCAAACTTACCTTTCATTCCAGGGTGCTCAGGTGGTCTCACTGCTATTGATCTGTTTTTTTTTTTTTTTTTTTTAAAGGCACACCTCTGGGTATTTATAATCTTTCCACCAGCAATTCCCCTGTGGCTAGAGATTCTGGCTGTGATCCCCTCGTGCCCTGAGTTTTTAACAAACTATTTCCTTCCAAGAGATCTTTTTGGGGAAAAGTATTTCCAATCATCCAACCTCTTCCCTGTCAGTCAGGCAGGCAGAGTTAGCCATGACTCACTATAATCTGGGCTGGATCCTCTCACTGTGAATCCTAAATCAAGACTTCTCTGTGGCTTGAGGAGCAGTCCCTTTAGCAAGTTTCCAAGTTGTGGTTTCACTTCTTCCTTTCTCCATTTACCTGAGTGATGTCAAAATTTGGGTCCAGGGGTCCTGCTGATGATGCTAAGTGACTAGGGGAAAGGAACTAGCATTACTCACTTTCTTGTAGCCAATTAAACTTTTATATATCTCTACTATGACCAGGCATGATTGGACCCTTGGTCACCTAATTAAATA